AAAAATCTAAACTACCCTCCCTTATTTTTACCCACGCCTCTCTTTCCTCTTTCCCAAGAAAAGGCAATCTGGCAGTATAATGTCGGTCCGATAAATAACAGTGACGGTTTGGCAGTTCAAGTAGCGGTCCGGTACTGACAAAGAACGGTCCGACGATAGGCCCATGCGATCCGACACTACCATAGAGTGGTCCAACAATGTCAAAGAGCGGTCCGGCATTTTTTTAGTTTAACGGGGTCCGACAATGTCAAAGAGCGATTCTGTAGCCCATGTAAGCCCACGTGAATGTCCAACAAAAATTAATTTTTTATGTACAAAAAAGGCATTTTTTTCAAAAAAATGTTGGGAAATTATCGCAAATATACCTTAATTTTCGTCTATTTTGAAAAAAACCCTCAATTTTCATAAACCTCGTCCACATCATTTTTCTTCAATTTTGGATGTTTTGTGACCAAAATAACCTTCATGGTAGTCGAATTACTGTAAAAAACAATTACGATACTTTAAGTACCATAATGAACACCGAATGTTATATCGTACTTAAAATACCATAAGAAAACCTTTTGGTATTACGGTATTCGAATTATCATAATACTACACAGACAACATGGTTGCATTACCTACTTTAAGTACCAAGAATATGTTTAAAAGTATTACGGTACTTAAAGTAATGTAACTATATTCTATTGTAATACTGAAAGGTTTTCTCATGGTATTTTAAGTGCCGTATAACATTCGGTATTCATTACGGTACTTAAAGTACCGTAATTGTTCTTTACGGTAATACAACTATCGTGAAAGTTATTTTGATCACAAAACGCCCAAAATTGAAAAAAATAGGTGTGGATGAGGTTTATGAAAATTAAATATTTTTTTTTGAATTGGCAAAAATTAAGGTATATAACAACAAGTGTACCTTTTTTTTAGGGAAAATTATAAAAAAAACCCCCATAATACACTATCTATGCAACTTACCCCCATCTAACTCTCACTTTTTTCCCCACAACAACCTTTCTTCGCAGAATAACCCCTAACCAAAAGGAATAAGAAAAAGGGAAAATTAACCCCCTTAAGTATACTATCTATGCAACTTACCCCCCAGCTAACCTTTCCTCTCACTTTTTTCCCCACAACCATCTTTCCTCGCAAAACCCACCCCCCCAATCCAAAACAAAAGGAACAAAAGACTAAACTACCCCCCCTCTCTCCTTGTGGCTTTTACCCATGACTCTCTCCCCATGCACTCTAGCAGTCCATTTAAACGCTTCGGTAATGAAGACATGTACTCTGACAATACAAGGACTCGCTCCGGCAGCACACCTTCTGGAGCCATAGCGCTCTGGCGGTTGAATAGGTCGCTTCGGCAATGAGGACACACTCTCCGGCAGTACAAAGACGCGCTCCGACAGTACAAAGACATGCTCCGGCAGTACACCTTATGGTGCCACAGCTCACCGGCGGTTGAATAAATCGCTTCGACAATAAAGATAAGCGCTCCGACAGTACAAATACGCTCTTTGGCATTGCACTTTCTGGAGCCACATTGCTCCGGCGGTTGAATTGGGTGCTCCGACAATATGCTACTTGGGACCGTCATTGACTTTTTATTTGAAGGGAAGGGCATTTCTGTCCGAAAAATAACAACTTTTTATCTTGAGGGTTTTTGCGAGGTAAGGTGATTATGGGGAAAAAATTGAGAGGAAATGTTAGTTGGGGGGTAAGCTGCATAGATAGTATACTTGGGGGGGGGGGGGGTTTGTCATTTTCCCTAAGAAAAAGACTAAACTATCCTTTTCTCTCCTTTTTCCCAATTTTTTAATTTACCCAATGCACTTGGACAGTACAAAGATGCGCTCTGGCAGTACATTTTCTAGAGACGACGCGCTCCAGCAGTCCCAAAGCACGCTATGGCAATATATGCTGTGGAGCCACATCGCTTCGATAGTGTAATAGGGCGCTCCGGTAGTGTGTTCAGCGCTCCGGCAGTATATGACCGCGCTCCGGCGATACACCTTTTAGAGACATTTTGCTCTGGCAGTCTATAAAGGCACTCCAGCAATAGAGGCTATGGAGCCACAGTGCTCTGACAGTATATGAACGAGCTCCTGCAATGCGTATGACGATCGTACAATCCTTACAAAGCACTCTGATGCTCGATACATATGCGCTCCGGCAATATGTTCTAGACAATTTGCTCCGGCAGTTGTATACTGCGCTTCGACAATATGTTCTAGATAATTCATTCTTGCAGTTGTATACTATGCTCTGGCAATATGCTACTTGGGACTGATAGTCAGTGGTACTTAATTTTTTTTGTACAAAAAAGGGTATTTCCATTAAAAAAATAACAACTTTTTACCTTTGAAGGCTTTTTGCGAAGAAATGTTGATATGGGGAAAAAAGTAAGAGGAAAGGTTTGGATGTGGGTAAATTATATAGATAGTGTATATTGGGGGGTTTTTTATAATATATATATTTTTTAACTTGGAATGCATTTTGGAGAAAAAGTGAGACAAAAATTTGGTCGGGGTAATTTGCATAGAAAGTCAAGGCTTGGGAATTGTTTGTAATTTTCCCAACAAATGTTCCCAATATAATGCCAAGTACAAGCTCTTGTTTCATCCTCTCAAATTGCAAGCAATGGCGTCCGCAGCCCTTCTTCTACCCAGTCACTGCACATGTCGCATGCCCAAGACAAGGCGTTCCACTCGTCGCTCTCGCTCGAACCCCCAGCAACCTCCTCCTCCTTTCGTCACTCCCAAACGCAAGAAGGTAAAACGCCTATTTCTTTCTTGAGCTGTTCCTCTTTCTCACTCTTGAGCTTTCTCTCTGGTGTCTCAGGTACTGGTTCCCATTGGTTTAGGCACAGAGGAAGTGGAGGCTGTTACAATGGTTGACATTCTGAGAAGAGCAGGGGCAGCTGTGACTATGGCTTCAGTAGAGGAGCAGCTCCAGATTGAGGGCTCCAATGGCGTCAGGCTCATTGCAGATGCCTCTATTTCCTCATGTGTTGATGAGTCTTTCGATCTTGTGGCTCTTCCGGTTGCTACTGTTCTTCCCTGCCTATCTATTTTCTAAATGAACCACCTTCTTCTTGTTTTTCTTACTTCCTCTGCTCATTCATTGCGCAATGGCAGTATAAGATTTCAGTCTCAGGAATCCATTGACGCATGAGTTGATTTTGGGTCTTAACTTTATCTAAAAATGCCGTGATTATATCGAATTAGGCTAAAAAAATCAGACTGACAAAAAAGGATAAGTTTAAAATTTTTTAAATTTTAAAATTCTAAAAAATGGAAAATATGCCAAAGCAATTAATAAGTAATCCATCCATGAAAAATTTACTAAGCTAATATAATTAAGTCAATCAATTTAGATTTTTTGTGACTCTCATCCATTAACCAAAATTAAATACAAAATCCAATAGAATAATTCAAAATAAACATAAGGCATTGTGGAGCCATCAAAATTAATAGAAAAATTAGGAGTTTGGGAAGGTGTAAGCCCCAAGTCATGTAGCTATCATAGTTAGCAAGTAGCCCTTAAAAATGTGACTTTTAAAAGAAAATGGCTTTTTTTGAAAAACGTTTTAAATTGCAATATTTTCAAAAGAGCGGCAAAAATATGCGATATTTTCACAAAAACGTTTAAAATGCACCCTCTTGAACTTTATGAAAAAAACGTTTCATTTTTTTGCCGGTGTATTTTTTTTTTTTGAAAGATGAATACTTTTTTCCTATTTTATGTAACTTCTATTTTCATACCTTCTAAAAAAACATATTATTTTTCTAGACAAAAATATTCCCTTAAAGAGAAGTTTTTATCCCCAACTCCCCAAGTACTGATCTTATGTATTGTTAGGGTTTATTATCTCATTAGGGTTTATGCTCAAGTGGTGTTCTTCAAAGCTATAGTTGCAGATTGAAGGTATGATTTTTTTATTTGTTTATTTTTTTAACTTAAACGTATAGATGCATATTTGACTAGTTATTGTGGAAAATGATTGTATAAAGGCCAAATTTCTGGAATTAAATTTCATTTTATTTTTGATTTGCATTGGGATGAAATATGGTTTATTTGTGATTTTCTAATTAAATTTTATTTTATTTGTGATTAATAGTTATTATGGAAATGCACTGTATATGGCATAAGATCTATTGAAACTAGAAAGTTATTTGGCAATCTCATGACAATTTCACCTCACAAATTAGAATACAAAAGCATAAAAACAATTAAATCAAAATCCCCAAATTTTCACTAGATTTTTCATTCAATGTTGACAAAATTCCACAAAAAAACTCATCCAAATTAGGACTCAAAGGCCATCCGGATTTTATCAATTTATATCTGAAATCCCTGAAACAAAGGTTAAAGAAAAACTCATATTAGGGCTCAATCCCCAAACCTAATTCATGATTGAAAAACTTGGATTAGGGTTTCATGTCCACTGTCTTATTCATCTTCTCTGGGAATTTGCATCCACCATCTTGTTCTTCTATGCCTCTACCTGCTCTTTTGTGTTTGCTTCTCACCCTCCCCCCCTCCTCTCTCTCTACGTTTCTTTTTTTGCTCTCTGCGTTTACCCCTTTGTCTCTTTCTTTCTCTCTCTCTCCCCGCTCCAATATAACAAAGTTTTTACATTGCCTGTATTGTGGTTGTTTAATATGGTATTAAAGCCTTTATTGTGGTTATTTAATATGGTGTATTTATCATCAACTTTTTGGTGCGATGTTTGTTAAAGCCTTTGATATGTTGTGAATTTAAGTAGCCTAGCATGCTATTTTATGTAGACATTAACTAGTTAAGCTTGTGGATTTCTTTGAGGTAGTTAATATGAAGATGAACCCCTAATGTGTGTGTTAAAATATTATTTATTCATGAATATATTATTACTTTTTTAGATTATTTGTTTGTGGATGTGCTTATATAGTCTATTTTTTTATTTTATTAAAAAATAAGAAAGAAGAAACAATGATTAGGTCAAAAGATCCTTTTTGGGATTTCGATGAAAGAGGAAATGAATTGTATTGTAAATTTTGTGGTGAAGTCTTTGTATGGGGATAACAAGATTCAAATATAATTTTGAAGAGAACAAAAGAATGGTATAAAATCTTGCCCTCAAGTACCTGATGATGTACAAGCTTTGGCCGTATGTGCGACACATGAAGTATTTTCTAAGCCCCAAAGAAGAAGAGCAAAATTACATCATATGCTCAAAATGTTGATCAAAGTTCGATATGCCTAGGTAATTATGGTGCATCACTTGGTACCTCTACTACTAGTTCTCGTTTGCAACAAAGTTCTTTACCATTATCGTTGAACAAAAAAGATGACTTTGTTGACAAAGAATTTGCTCGTGCATTTATCATAAATAATATTGCATTTAATATTATCAATACATAATCATTTGTTGATATGATAAATACATATGTCAATTTTGGTGTTGGTTACACATTGTCAAGTTACTCATCTCTTCACACTAAATTGGTACAAGAACTTAAGACAGAAGTTGATGCATATATATCTCCAATAAAAGAGTCATGGGTTCAATCAGGAAACACTTTGATGTTAGATCTCTGGTCGGATGTCAAAAATCGGTCATTCCTCGATGTTGTTTCTTCTTGTCCAATGGGGTCAGTTTTTATAAATGTATTTGAGGTATCTAAGCATAGAAAAACTGGATTATTTCTTGAAAAGGTATTTCTTAAAGTCATTGAGGAGTTAGGGCCACAAAATATTGTTCAACTTGTGACTGACAATTGATCAAATTATGTACTTGCTGGTGATTTAATAAAATCAAAATTCCCTCATATTCATAAACAAAATGTGCTTCCCATGAGTTAGATTTGCTTTTAGAAGACATTGATAAGGAGGTCACTTGAGTGAAAGATGTCATTAAGGATGCTAAGTTGATAGTGGATTTTTGTATCAACATACCATTGTTTTAGATTTAATGAAAAAACACACAAATGGAAAGGAATTGAAAATGTATGGTAAAACTAGATTGCCAGTAACTTTTTGATGGTTGAATCTATATTGTGAGTAGAAGAGGGTTTAAGCTTGATGGTTGCATTATTTGAGTGGAGAGCTATGACTTATAGCAAGAGTAAAATAGAAAAAAAATCACATAATTAATTCAAAGCTCAAAATTTTGAAATGATGCGATAGATACAAGCATCACATTAGAGTCTCTTATCAAGGTACCTCGTTTGGTTGATAGTGAGGGGTCAACCATGGTACCTCTTTCGGTTAGCGTGACTCAGTTCCAAGCATGGTTGATTGCTACGATAAGGGGCATGAAGCTGGAATCACTAGTAATCGATGGAAAACCATATGGCAGGAATTCTTTCCCGGGCCTTGTACACACCGCCTGTCACACTATGAGAGCTGGCCACGCGTGACATCATTACTTGAAGAATGACGAAATCCATCCGAACCGTCCAATGAATAAGAGGAGAGCAAAGTGCCAATGGTGTGCAAAGTGCATGTGAAGCCGGCGTGGAGAAAAAGAAGTGCGGAGGAGAAGCAGCCAAACTCATTCCCTTCGCTTCTTGGGCATTCCTGCTGTAATCCGTACTTGGTTTTGGTTTTCTCGAACTCTCAATTTGGTTGGTGACAAGGTGAGGGATGTACCTGCCCCTATGGTGCATGCTTTCGACGTTCCGTGGTGAATAGTGGCTACTCGTCCAGTCTCTTGGCCTTGGGGAGGAAAGGGTGGATGCGTATGCAAATGCCAATAGTGAGAGTGAATCGGCCTCCCTCCTACTGTGTTTGATGGTGAATCTAGACTCCAAGAGACTCTAGATCGTTGTTTCCAGAAGATCTCCTCTTGGGCTAGGGCTGAGTTGAGGTTGAACATAATGCAATTTTCCATATCCTCGGTCCATCACTGTTCGTTTTAGATTGAATCTCTCGAAGGTGAATGTTGCCAAACAAGGTAAGCACTAAAGATGAATTATTATGGAAATGAATCTAGATATCTTGAATTGTTGAAGAATTTTGAAAAGGGGGGAAAGAAAAATATAATTCACCTCATTCATGCTGCTGCCACATTTTTTAGCTCATCTTTAATGTGTGGTGGGTTTGTTAAACTTGATAATCCTGAAGTGAAGGTTGACATTACCTTGATTTCAGATATAATGATCCATACAGAGCCAAAAAAAATATTGTTTTCAGAGTTGTTGAAGTACCATACGCGGGATCTAATTGTATTTGATGGTGTTGCAACAGGATTATTGTCAACAACTCATCCTCGTATCTTCTTGTATTTTTAGTTTTTTCACTATTTTAAAAAATAAATTTTATTTCACTTTTAATTTTATCTTAAATGTGTAGTTAAAAAATTATTATCATGTTGGAGTTTGGTGGGAAGTATGTGGAGAAAGCATTCAACTGAATCAAATGGTTGCTATTCAGATTTTAAGCTAACCATGTAGCTCATTAGCATGGGAAAGAAATTGGATTGCTTTTGCGGCGACACAAACCAGAAAAGGAATAAATTGAAACTAACTATGTTAACTGACTTGGTTTACATAAGAGTGAACTCGAAGATGATGACTGTATCTTGTGAAAATGAAAAACATAATTGTAATGCAACTAATTTTGAATAACTTGGTTAATTGGTAGAAGTGGCTTTCAAAGAGGCAGAAAATGAGGACACCTCCATAGATGATGATATTAGTGATGGTGATGATGATGCATGACTGTCATAGTTAGTAAGTCAAGGAATATTAATATATCGGCTCACAATAAAATCGAAAATAAATCGGTTTTATTTTTCAAAAGTCAGATATAAAAAGCGGGCAGATCAGCAATAATACTTTATGTAAAAATGTCATGAATATATCAGATAAAGCTAAAAAAATCGGAGTGAAAAAAAGAATAAATTTAAAAATTTCTAAATTTTAAAATTCTAAAAAATACAAAACATGCTGAAGTAATCAAGTAATCAATAAGTAACCCATCAATGAAAACATGAAAACTTTACTAAAATAATATAATTAAGTCAATCAATTTAGATGTGTCATGATTCTCATCCCATCATCGAAAATTAAATAAAAAATTCGTTAGTATGATTTAAAATTAAACATAAGGCATGATAGGGTCATTAGAATTAATAGAAAAGTTAGGAGTTTGGGAAGGTGTAAGCCCCAAGTGATGTAACAGTCATAGTTACCAAGTCGTCGTTAAAAACATGAGTTTTTACAAAAAAGTGCCATCATCATCATCATCACGATCATCGTTTGTGGAAGTGTCCTCATTTTCTATCTATTTAAAAACCTGTTCTGCCAATGAACTAAGCTGTTCAAGAAGAATATCTTTACAATCACACTTTTCATACAATCATCATCTTCAAGTTCATTGTTATGTAAACCAAGTCGGTTAACATAATTGGTATCAATTTATTCTTTTTTTTGGTTTATGTTGTCTCAAAAGCACTTTGATATCTTTCGCATGCTAAGGAGCTACAAGGTTATCTCAAAATCCGAATAGCAACCATTCGATCTAGTATAATGCTTTCTCCACATATTTCTCACCAAACTCCCACATAATTAGAAATTTTTTAGCCACATATTCAAGATACAATTAAAAGTGAAGTGAAATTTATTTTTTAAAATAGTAAAAAATAATAATACAAGAAGATACTTACGAGGATGAGCTTTTGACAATAATCCCATTGTAATTGCATTAAATACATTTAAATCCTGCGTAAGGTGCTTCAAGTCTTTTACAACTTTGAGAAAAATATATTTTTGTGCTCTGTCTGGATCATTGTATATGAAATCAAGGTAATGCGAGCCTTCATTTTAGGATTATCAAGTTTAACAAATGTACCGCACATTAAAGATGGATTAAGAAATGCGACAGTAACATGAATGTGGTGAATTATATTTTCCTTTCACTTATTTTCAAAAATCTTCAATAATTCAAGATATCTAGATTCATTGCCATTACAATTCCTCTTTAGTGCTTCCCTTGCCCTTTGTATTGCCTCATATAGTATCCAATGGTTGACCCTTCACTATCAACGAAATGACACACCTTGATAAGAGGCTCTAATGTGGTGATTGTATTTATCTCATCATTCCAAAATTTGGAGCTTTGAATTAATTATGTGAATTTGTCCCAATTTTACTCTTGCTCTAACTCATAGCTCTCCACTCAAATGATTCAACCATTAATCTCAAACCCTATTCTGCTTGCAATATAGATTGAATCATAAAGAAGTTCGTGGCAAATCTAGTTTTACCATACCTTTTCAATTCTCTTCTATTTGTGTGCTTTCTCATTAAATCTAAAACAATGGTATGTCGATACAAAAAATCCACTATCAACTTAACATCCTTAATGATATCTTTTACCCAAGTGACATCCTTATCAATGTCTTCTAAAAGCAAATCTAACCCATGGGCAGCAGCACGCTATGTGTTATGAATATGAGGGAGTTTCGATGCTATTAGATTACCAACAAGTACATAATTTGATCAATTGTCAGTATCAAGTTGAACAATATTTTATGGCCCTAACTCCTCCATGACTTTAAGAAACATATTTTCAAGAAATAATCTAGTTTTTCTATATTTAGATACCTCAAATACATTTATAAAAATTGACCCCTTTGACAATAAGCAACAACATTAAGGAATGACCGATTTTTGATATCTGACCATAGATTTGACATCAAAGTGTGTCCTGATTGAATCCATGACTCCTTTATTGGAGTTATATATGCATCAACTTTTGTCTTTAGTTCTTGTATCAATTTAGTGTAAAGAGATGAGTAACTTGACAATGTGTAACCAACACCAAAATTCAAACATGCATTTATCATATTAACAAATGATCGTGCATTGATAAATGCAATTTTATTTATGATAAATGCACAAGCAACTTCTATATCAACAAAAGGCATCTTTTTGTTAAATGATGATAGTAAAGAACTTTGTTGCAAACGAGAACTAGTAGTAGAGATACCAAGTGATGCATCATAATTACTTAAGCCTATCGAACTTTGATCAACATTTTGAGCATATGATGTAATTTTTCTCTTCTTCTTTGGGGCTTAGGAGATACCTCATGTGTTGCACATACACCCCATGCTTGTACATTATCAAGTACTTGAGGGCAAGATTTTATATCATTCCATTGTTCTCTTGACAAGTGATATTTGAATCTTGTTATCCCTGCAGAAAACCTTCACCACACAATTTGCAATACAATTTATTTCCTCTTTCATTTCAATAATCGTAGAAAGGATCTATTGACCTAACCATTGTTTCTTCTTTCCTATTTTTTAATAAAATAAAAAATATAGAATATATGTTGGATATATGGCCTTTCAGGGCCTTATATGCTATGCCAACACTGTTCAGAGTCATAGTGGGAGTGACCAGGAACATAGTGGCTATCAGAGTCTTTTACGTATTGAGATCTGAGTAGGACAAAATAACCCATTTTGATTGAGGCGAGGTTCTTGGAGCATATTATGAACTAAGAAGTTTTGGGGTTTTTCCTCAAGTCAGGTTCGGTATACTGGTTTCGCCTCATGGCGTGTGAGCCAGGGCTTGGCGATTAGTGGACCCCGGTTTGTTTCAAATATGTTGTGTATAAGCCTTGTGTGAGCATAACTGGGCGTAAGAGGATATAAGCCCCTAAAACCCTAACATATGTAGCTTGTTCACATCGTGTGCACATACAGTTGCATTTTGGGAAGTAATTCTGATGAGGTAAGATCCACCTATCAACATGTGTGTTGAGAGAGGACCCCCGCATCTGCAAGAGTGCATGCCCTTGGGGGCACTTGTAATTCCTTGAACAACCTTGGAGTGCATTAAACTATCGGTTAACTTTGATAGGTCCATTAATGTCAGGACTGAAGTTAATGACGCATAGGGGCCTGTTGGGTTGGCTAAGAAATTGGATTGCGTTTCCGGGTCTAGCCCAGTGGAGTACCATACAACCCGACCTCCTGGGGAACCGTGTTTTTCCACATCGGATTTATGAGAAGTGCAAGACCATGATGTTTTGATAAGAAATGCTAGAAAATAATTTATTATAAATTTTTATGATTTTTTGGGAATTTTATTTCAAAGGAAAAGTGCTTTGATAAAATTTTGTATACTGATTTCAATTAAGGATGTCCGCACATATGGCGTTTGGTACACAAATGGCCAATGTGTGCCATACGTACATCCCATGGGGCAGCCACGTCATTGACCAATGGGCATGACATGGAAACCCTAAACCTAGGCATGGGACCCTTGTTTGGATATGCCACATAACATTAATAAGAGCAATGTGTTTTATGGCACGTGTGAAGGACATGTGGTGGCATGTGTGTTCACATGTGGAAGTGTAGAGATTTCACATTTTCATAAATTGATTTAAACTCCTATTTGTTTACATCTTAGATATTTGAAGTAGGAGCATTTGATTGATTTGAAGAGGATAAGGGGGACACACCATGACATAAGGTGATGTAATGTACCCCCTTGATAATGACTGCACCTAAGCTTAAGTGTGAAGCAAGTTACACCACCTAATGGAGCAAGGGGTAGCACGCCACCCCCATTATGTTTTTGAGAATATCTTATGAGATCTAACGTGGTGATTTGTTGGTTGAAAGATGAATGCTTGAAATTATAATAAAAAAGCATAAAAACCATTGAATCAAAATCCCCAAATTTTGGCCAGATTTTTCATCCAAAGTTGACAAAATTTCACCAAAAAAACCTCATCCAACTTAGGGCTCAAATAACTCGCAGATTGGGGCTCAAAGACCATTCAGATTATCACAATCAATACAAAATCTCAAATCCCTAAAACAAAAGCTTAAAATAACCTAGATTAATAGTTATTATGGAAATAGATTGTTCATGGCATAAGCATGGTTGAAACTTGGAAGAGATTTGGCAATCTTAGGACAATTTCACCTCACAAATTAAAGTAAAAAAGCATAAAAACCATTGTATCAAAATCCCCAAAATTTGGCCAAATTTTTCATCCAATGTTGACAAAATTCCACCAAAAAAACTCATCCAAATTAGGGCTCAAAGATCATCCAGATTATAGCAATTTATGCAAAATCTCAAATCCCTAAAACAAAGCCTACATGAAAACCAAAATTAGGGGTCAATCCCCAAACCTAATTCATGACTGGAAAACTTGGATTTGGGAGATAAAATTGTCTTGAGATTGCCAAATCAAAATTTGATTAAAAAAATCACAAATAAACCATATTTCATCCCAATCTAAATAAAAAATAAAATAAAATTTTTAATTCAAGAAATTTTTCCTTTACACAATGATTTTCCACAATACTTAGTCAAATATGCATCTATACGTTTAAGTTAAAAAAATAAATAAATAAAAAGAATTATACCTTTAATACGCAACTATGGCTTTTAAGAACACGACTTGAGCATAAACCCTAATGAGATAATAAACCCTAACAATACAGTAACCCCGTACTTGGGGTGTTTGGGATAAAATATACTTTTTTAGGGAATATTTTTGTTTTGAAAATAATACATTTTATAGAAAGTGTGAAAATAGAAATTACATAAAATAGGAAAAAGGTATTCATCGTTCAAAACAAACAAAACGTACACAGGCAAAAAAGGAATCGTTTTCTTGGACCGATTTTTCATAAATTCAATAGGGCCCGTTTTAAATGGTTTTGTGAAAATTTCTTCGTTCGGGTCCTCAACTTGCTTTACCTTGCTTTTAGTATCAATGACATGGGGCATTCTAGAATTCCTTCTCTGTTCCACAATATTTAGGTCAAGCTCATAGTTCACCTTCTCTCTCATTCTTTTTTTGTTCAAAATGCAGATTGGGGAAGGAACTGGTGCATGAAGCCCAGATCCCCTTTCGAGAAGAACTCCTCCCTATTTTATAGGCATTGGATAAATCGGACGGGCACATCAACACTATCATCAATCGTGTATTTTTACCAATCTTTTGAAAATGCAGTTTAAAATGCTATTACAGAGAATGCCGTGTTTTTCGAAAAAATCGTGTTTTTAACAGCGACTTGCTGACTATGAAAGAGATTAGAATACTCATTCAATTCTCTCATTTTTCTTTTGGCCCCAAAGTTGAATTCATTCGGACTGGTCTGCGTCTTGCATGGGCAATTCTTACAAAAGCCCATAAAAGTTAGTTAAAATCATTGTCTCTGATATGGTGGGAAAATTGGAAAGTTTTTTTAGAGATTCGTTTCCTTGTGGATTTTGTATTTATGCGTTAGCCAGTAATCTGAAGTTATATGAATGCCGTTATTTTTAGGGTGGCATGCCAGGCTCTGTGCGGCTGAGAGACTGCAACATTCTACAAAAGATAACAAGCAAGCAAGCAGATGAAAAGCGATTATATGGTGCCATCTGTGCTGCACCAGCTGTTGTTCTGGAACCTTGGGGCCTACTCAAGAGAAAGCAGGTGCCTTTTTTTTTCTGATAATGGTCAGCTGTAGTATTAAATATCATAATTCAAAACAAATATATCATAATTTACATCTAATTCTAAAGCCAAATTTCTAGATCTTGTCCATTATTTAAATATGGAAGTACCCCAGAAATTTAATGCTTATATTTGGATCATGATACGACAGTCTTTTATATCTTTACTCTCTCTATCTATCTCTCTTTGACACACACATACTGTATACATTTCTGTGCGTGCTTGAGAAGGTTCTGTTTGTTCATATTTTGTGCTGCTTTATGAGCTCTCAAAAGATCTCAACTGCTTTATTAGCACAATGTGGTTGCATTATTTGCTTTATATGTCAAAACCAAGTCCAAGTTGTTTGGCTTCCTTCCTAATGCAGTTGTCTTATTCTTTGGGAAGATGACTTGCCATCCAGCCTTTATGCACAAGCTTCCTACCTTTTGGGCAGTTACATCGAATGTTCAAGTGGCAGGAGAAGTTACAACGAGCCGCGGTCCTGGAACAGCCATTGAGTTTGCTTTGTCATTTGTCGAGCAAATGTTTGGAAAGGAGAATGCAGAAGAGGTTGAACAGACACTGGTGAGTTAACTTAGATGAGTCTGGTTATTACTGAAATTTCTATTATGTTGAAGGGCTAATTCAATGCAATTGTACCGTATAAGCTGATATTACTTTTATTGTAACATGATTAATCAAACAATTCATATTCGCATGGACATTGCACTCATGACTCATGCACAATCGAGCAGTGAAGCAATGAGACAGTGCTTGAAATTTGTGCAGCTTGATTATCTGTTTCTTGTATATAATTTAATTTGTCAAGATATTCTTCGAAACTACATGTTGATAGATTAAGTCTTTACATATTTTATTTCTTATACTTCATAATGGATCAATTTTTAGCAGGTGGTATTTCTCAACATACTTATTTCTGTTGAATTGATCAGTGAGTCTATTGTAGTCTATTGTAGCATATTGTTTTGTGAATTTGCTCCTATTGAATATCTTAATTCTGGATATGGTTATCTTGACCCATGAACAATGTTTACACAGTTTTCATATGCTCAATGTTTTCCTATAAATTTATCTGTTTTTGTTGCTCTTCCTTTACAATATTATAAGTTTTCTGTTTTCCTATATTTGTGGTCCCTAACATTGAATTCCTCGCATTTGTTAGGTCTGCTATATTTTCTTCAATCATGTCTGATAAGATTAGAAACCCTTTCCATTTGTGTCAGCAAGTGGACATGGTCCTTAGAAAGTTAAAAACAAGTGCATAATCAGCATATTAAATATTTAGGCATTTGATTTTCTAATTGGAATTGTCTAATTATTTATTTTCTTTTGGGGCATAGGTATCTCTAATAGATGTGCCTCAAAATAAAATTGGGCTTGAAGGTTGAAACACTTGGTCCATAAGTTTTGGAAGAAAACATATTGCATGCTCTCATAAAATTTGATATTTTGAATTCCCTCATCTAAGAGCCTGCTAATGCCTCCATTGCCACTCACTAAGTACCTTGATGTTGGAATACACCATGTCCTTTATGCAACTGGAACTGATCAGCTTGTTAGACTTAGGGCTAACACTTGTTTCGAAACTAACTGTACGATATGACATTTATGAATATGTGCAAAACGTAAAATCAGTACAGGCTATAAAAGAAATCAATTTCTTCCTTATTAATTTTCCCTAAGCTAATCATGAACTCTAAAATAATTCATGACTGGACGCACGCACAACCCCTTCTTACCTTTACATGAAGAGTATACATAGAAAAATATCGAAGTGTTAAACAAGTACAATTCAGCCGTACCACTTTGGAGAAACCCCTATTCGCATGTACAACTCGTATTTTTTTCCGTCAGTAGTCTTGTTTAGACACAAAATACTTCTCTCTTTTAATGAAAGTTACTGGATTAGAATTGCTATTAGGTTTTATAACTGGCCCAACTTCTGGACTGCTTTTAGGATTATTATTATTATTTTCTTGAGGAAGTGAACTTTCTTGGGATAATTAGTTCTATCTCGAAAAATGAGGGGCGCTGGATAGGACCAAGACTATTGAAAGTCAAAGGCTAAGTGGCTAGTGTTGTACAATCATTTTTTTCAGTGACATTTGCTGTTGGATCCTCTTAGTTCAAACGTGAGAGGAATAATCTGATTGTGAATTTCAATGAAAAAAATGATTGATTGGTGGTGGGCTTGGACTTGTTATGGTTTGAATAGGGTCTATCTGATTAAGCCACTTAAGAAAATGTAAATTATATGCACTCTCCAATTTTAGTCATCTATGTGTCTTCTTTATAAACAAAATGCGACACAAGTGGGTGAGTCCAAATTGCCTTCATATTAGGGGTATGAATTATTTTAGATTTCATCTTCCCCCTTATGAAATTACAATCCGACAAACTATGTTTTGTCCTTTCATGAAACATTGGACTTGATGCTGTATGAATGAATTCCTGATTTTCACAAAACATTTCCACAGGTGAATTATCTCAGATACCAAGTTCCCTTTCAGCTGCACCAACTCATATGTGGTGCTTGAATTCTATATTAGATAGAGTCGACCATCCTCTCATCTTTCAAAATGACTGCAACCCAATCCCCTTGAACTCTTGTTGTACTATCAAATCATCATCATCATCCGAGCCTTATCCCAACTATTGGGGCTCGACTACACAAATCCTGTTTCAGCATTCTGCTCCATTTGTAGGAAAGGACACGGATGTGCTCTGGAATCCCACGATTCCAGCTAGGGATCTTGGATGGAATACAGATCCCTATATTGTGATCCTCGTTCCCAATGGGTTTGAAACCGCAGTTCTCAAGTGTATGATTCAGTACATATGATGTTTTCTCTATTCAACACTGGTTCATATGCATTGATTCAAGTTTGTGCCTGATGGTATTGTGAACCCATGCATCATTCGCGATCCCTTAAAACTTACTACTACGATTCCTTCCTCATGGAATCGTGCTTCCCTATGACAAGGATCCTACTCCCTTGATATAGGATTGTATGGACGATGATCCAACCCACAAGGAGCTTCCAGCAATCCACTGTTATGCAGACCCGATCCAGCTCCGGCTCCTGGGAATACACCCGCACCCGACAACTATGATTTGGTTCTAATGTCAAATAAACTTGCCCAAAACCAGTTCCCTATTTGTTTCCCAAATGCTGCACATCATCCTCCTGTTTGTTTTCTTTAAAACATGGTTGTGGTGCTCTCTCCATGTTCCCAAGAATACAAGGCCTACTGCTTAATGAGAAATTGCATTTGTGCTGGACACAAGGATGTCGAAGGAGAGAAACAATGCGAAATTAAACTACTGTTCTAACACCCTTTCATATATTTCATATTTGTAGCATTTTATAAAAGCTGCACATGGATTTCCTACATTGTAGACTTAAGTCCTTATATGAGCTGTAGATAAATATAACATAAGCATAACACAAAAACATACACAGCATTTACAAGTCAGATGTGGGCACCGAGGAACAAGGACAGATAACCGCAACCACCCCCCCCCCAAAAAAGAACACATAAAAACAACGGTTTAGGCCCCTAAGGGAGTTCTTAGGGCAGTTTTGAAGGCCCAGAGTTCTTAGGGCAAGGGTTTAGGCCTCTTAGGGAGTTCTTAGGGCAGTTTTAAAGGCCCAAAGCCCCTGAAAATAAAGAAATAGATAATACAGAGACTTATCAACACCGCAAATAACTTAAAATGACTGTCATCACCACCGTGCTTAGAATTTGATGATAAGGCCATGCCATCATCATCAGAGTCATCCCCTTCCTCAACATATTGACCATCATCCCATGTCTCATCTGAATTTGTTTCATCAGAGTCATCCCCTTCCTCAACATATTGACCATCATCCCATGTCTCATCTGAATTTGCTTCATCCTTTTCATCCTCCTCTCTCAATCCCACCAATTTCCTCCCCTTCTCCTTTACCTTCCTCAGTCCCTTCCTTTGGCTTTGAGATTGAGATTGAGTGGTCAGCATAGAGCTTAATGGTGTCCCAACAGCCTCACGAACCTGGCCTAGGTCAAGCGCCCTCTCTAGGGAAGACCTCATCTTCCCTAACATCAACCATCCACTCGCAAGTATCGACCATATCATCAACTTCAATACCCTCCCTCTCATTGTGTTTCATTCTGTTGCTTTTATTCCTCTTCTTTGTATGGACCTATTAGATAAATTTTGAATGAACAATTAAAATTTAGAAAAGCATAACGTAGGTTAGGCTAATAAACTAAGTAAGTACTATAGTTACTATGTAAGTAATATTACCACATCAAGACGCGCGACAAGTTTGATTCAATATACCCCAGGCCATTTGCTGCAAATTCGGGATGCTTCCCCCACAGGTACTCCACAATGAAGCTATTTCACATAAATGTAAATGTAGTACATGAGTTATCTATATAATTGAAATTTAATACTCAAATGATTCAAATCATGAAATAAAAATGAAGAAGTTCTAAAGTCACTTGGAGAGATCTTGGTCCTCTGCCTTATTGCCAACTCCTTTACAAGAGACCCGGTAGAGAGCCTATAGTTGTCTAACTCCATTGTGACCTTGTCTTGGACTTCATGATTAGGGTTGAGTTTGATATTGCAGTGATTGAAAGGTTCCATGAAATCAGTCTTGCTATGTACCTCATGATCAGTATAGCAATGAGTAGGGCTAGGGAAGTACCCTGCTAAGTGCAAAGGCCTTTTAAGTTGGTAGTTCCATTTATCTTTTATAATCCTCAAGTGTTCTCCATACTTAGCTTCATCATTCTCAAAACATTTCTTAATTTCTTCCTTAGCATCCTCCATAGCTTTATAAATGTGACCCATCTCAGGTTACTTCTTAGCATCAACCATCTTGGGTACCTTTATTAATGCCCAAAAAACATATAAGCATTACGGAACCCTATTCCAAAATCATGAGTCCAAGACAATCTCCATAACTATGTTCCCATCTAATTTCTTGGCCTACTTGGAATTGGTCCAATCCTCATATACAAACATTAAACTCAAGTTTTCCTTTTTCTCATCCAAAGATTGCAAGGGCAAGTAGGAGCTGGCAAATCTAGTCACCCTAGGTCTCGCCAAGTCTCTACCCCCAGTGAACTTCCTCATCATGGCTAAGACCCGGCCAACATGAATTTCTCAAAGTTACATACTTGCAACGACATTACATAATGATACAACATATCTGTATCCAAAAGGATCAAAATAAGTAACAACAAAGCATAGAAATAGTATAAAACTTCATGCTCTTACGTAAGCGTGACTAATATATATAGACTGTGATGGTCTACACTTTTTTTATGATTGTCTTCATCGACTTCCTCTTGCCAATCGCCTCAAGCATGAGATTTATGCAATGTGCTGCACAAAGTGATAAAGAACTACACAACCTCTTCTCAATTAATAACCTAACGGCCGCCATATTGGCTGAGTACATATATGTTAGTACTTGGACTACTTTATCCCCCTATGTGCTTGTCCACTAGATAAAAAATGAAGACTGCACATGGGACTTGTCAGAAGCATCGATAGACTGTAAGAA